GTGCTCCGTTCAATGTGGACAGAAAAAAAAAAAATGCGTCCTAAAATCCGAAGCTCCTACCTGTGACAGTAAATAACTCTCAGAGCTCAAGCAGTAATCCAATATTAACTCCCTAAATGATGCATACAGTATATATAGCCCTTCCTTGTCATGCACATCCTTGTGACGGTTGGCATATGGGGTCATTTTCTATTTCTTCAAACTGTTAAACTAAATTATAATAAAACTAAAATGCTTTCTTTAAACCAAACTACAATGTTCCTCTTATATTTGTCGAATTTATGTTTGAATATTTTGCAAAAACATGTTGCAGTGCATGATGGGGTTTTGCATCTAAAGGCTAACGTTTCCCGTCTTACATTCATTGTTGCCAGGTTGGGATGTTTCCCAATCTGGCAGTTTAGGATGGCCATCTAACGGTAAAAAAATTTTTTTCTTTAGATTTATGGCCTAAGATATCAATAGAATTTGGTTCAAATTGGGCGAAATTTCGTATATCCAGGCGCTTTATGAAGATTTTTAGAGCTGGAAAACGTGAGTCAGCGACATCTGGCAACCCTGCTGGACGTTACTCACTGTGGCGTCCGTGTTAATAACCAAAGCCAGTAAAACCGCATTCTAGAAGTCTTGGTGATGGTTGTCGTGTCAATGTGTATTCGTATTGTGTTTCACATTTGAGACGCACACGTTTCACTGTGCTTATGGGGGGTCCATGAGTGGGCCGGTGTAGATGGGAAAATGCCAGGGCTGAAAATTGTTCCCAGTGCGAGCCTGATAACTATCTATTCTTCCGGGGTTTTTTTAACCTTTAGAGTTTAACTCCTTGATATTTATAAAAAATGTTTCTTCAGAATGTCTGCAGAAGCGATGACAGCCTGCAGGTAGTTTCTGTCTCCCAAAAAAAAAACCCAGGATAAGCTTTTCTGATTGGTTGATGCTCCGGCATCTAGTGGCAAAAGTTCAGTTTTCTGAACTCCATCATCGGCCGCGGTGCTGGACCTCTTGATGGTCTTTGCATGTAAATCATCTGAACGCGCCATTGGTGGAAATGACTCATTAGTTTTTACGCAAGAAAACTTTTATTTAATAAAAAGATAACAAATTCATTAGAATTTGCAAATTCAAGCCGCTCGGTAGCTTTCAAAATTACAACTGCAAAAATCAACCCATTGAAAAAAAAAATCTATTTCAGAAAGTCACATTCAAAAACATGCCTGCAAGAAAATAAATATACTTATTTAACTTTCAGCTGAAGAAATACTCCTTCAGAAAGTTCAATCCATAATTCACCGGATGGCCATAGCTCCACTTTAACATGTTTTAACGCCACGGCAACAAAATGAGAGAATCAGAGGGAATCTTGGAGATGAAAAGTGTCTTAGGGAGTTTGTTAACATTAATACATTACATTACATTAATTCACAGGAAGAAATGCTACACTGGAAAAAAATCCAAATCTAGTCATTTTTTCTTAAAATAAGTCTATTTGTTCTTGAATTGAGGAGGTAAAAGAGACATTTTGCCAATGGAACAAGACAATTTACATTTAAAATAAGACAATACAATAATTTTTTCGTCAAGTGCATATTATCTGATTATCTTAAGAGTAAAAATACTCATTCCATCGTACAGCTCTCAAACTATAAATTGGGAATACAATTTTTTGTATTTGTATGACAGAAAGGCATTGAGAAATATTTTTCTGGTGGAACCATTATTTTAANACTTTATTCTTGTAATGTTGCGACATTATTCTTGTAATGTTGCGACTTTATTCTTATAATGTTACGACTTTATTCTGGTAATGTTGCGACTTTATTCTTCTAATATCACTACTATATTCTTGTAATGTTGCGACTTTATTCTTGTAATGTTGCGACTTTATTCTTGTAATGTTGCGACATTACAATGAGGAAACATAAAATTGTTCCTCTTTCATCTTCTTGTTTAATTCTGGTTGACAAACAACCTTCAGGTGTTTTGCTGCCACCAGCTGGTGAGGAGTGGAACAGCTTCATCAGAGGGTGGAGATTTTTTACTTGTAACACCTAAACTTTTATTCTCACAGATCAAACATGGGATTTCATGTGTGTACGAGCTAAAAACAACAAATACACACATTTTAATTTGCTTACTGACTTACATTTATAAATTTAGAGATTCATGCTTACTTTGTAATGAAGTGATCTTACCCTCATATGATTTATTGTAGAAACTGCTGTTATTTTTTGTTTTTATCCGTTCCACATGCAAAGCCCCACCCACTTTAGACCGATTCATCCTGTTGAACGCTTTTATTTCATTTTCTAAGTGGAGGCTGGCGGGTCGATGTGAGGAAGGTATGATGGGTGGATTTAGTGTTGACTGTGTAGTAACAGCTCTCTGTGCGCCGCTGGCCTCCTGACTCCTCCTCACAGGTAGAGGAAGCAGACGATTGGCTGCGCTACGGTAACCCCTGGGAGAAGGCCCGCCCAGAGTACATGCGTCCGGTCCACTTCTACGGCAGGGTGGAGCACACACCGGAAGGAGTGAAATGGGTCGACACACAGGTTGGTAGAATCAGAAGCACGCCATCAATTCCTGCCTTTGGGGAAGATTTGGTGGTTTATACAGATTCAGATGAGGCTGATTTTATAAGAAGTTTTTGGTTTATATGTTGTTGATATTCATTTTGCACCAAAATCGGTAGAAAAAGTTCTTTAAAACCCATTTAAAGTAAAACTCCCATCACCGTACAGCCGTACTTCCCTGTAGTGTTGGCTCAATGATCCCAGCGATGAGTCTTTCTGGAAACAGAAGAAAAATCTCCTTTTCTATTCTTTTTTTTTTTCATTATGTCTTTAAACTAAATGTTTTCTTTCTGATATTTTTTAGGTCATGTGACTGACTGAAAACCAGCTAATGTCATAATTCTAGACTGAACAGATGAGGATTTATTATTTTTTTTTAATCTAATTCATTCACTATTTTCAAATGCTGAAATTTTTCTGCTTGGTTTTCCTTGGTGGGTTGAAATGTCTGATCCCCATCGCTAATTATCTGCAAGCATGGCAAGCAGTTTTAACATTCATTTAGCATGTTTAGCGCAGAACTGCAGTTACAGATAACAACCTTCAGTTTTGAAAAGGCAAAATTATGCTGCATATAACAAATATTCACTATACCAATTATATCTTAAAATGCTTGCCATACTGCGGGCACCTTGGTAAAGTTCTAGCCAGCTTGCTTTACTGGTAAATCGATCAGAAGGGGCTTCTATCTACCCGCCAGTTCTTGTTCTTTGTTTCACTGACCTGACTGAGTCACTGTGCTCCGTTCAATGTGGACAGAAAAAAAAAAAATG